ACCTCAACCAAAAGCTCACACATTATATAAAAAATATGACTCAAAATGGGCTTAAACGTAAAACTATAAAACACACAGAAGACCCTAAAAGAGAAAAGAAAATCAAGATAAACTGTATTTCATCTAAATTAAAAGCTTTTGCTCTGCAAAAGACTCTGTGAAGAGGATTAAAACACAAGCTACAGGCTGGGAGAAAATATTTGCAAACCACCTATCTGACCAAGGATCAATATCCAAAATTTATTTTTAAAACTCAGTAATATAAACAATCCAGTTAGAACATGGGCAAAAGACATGAAGGGACATTACACCACAGATGGCAAATAACCACATGAAAAGTTGTTCAATATCATTATCCATTAATTCTATCAAAATGGTTAAAATAAAATAAAAATTAATAAAAGACAATATCAAGGATGCAGAGAAACGTAAAATGGTACAGGCAATCTCAAAAGCAATTTGGAGGTTTCTTAAAAAACTAAACATACAATTATCATACAATCCAGCAACTACCTTCCTGAACATTTGTCCCACAGAAATGAAATTTATGTTCACCCAAAAACCTGTACAAGAATGTTTAGAGGAGCATTAATCATTATTATGCTTATTACATTATTACAGCCAAAAGGTGAAACCAACCTAAAAGTCCATCAACTGATAAATGGATAAATAAAATGTGGTACATAATACCATGGAACAGTTAACAATTAAAAGGAACAAACAAGTGATACACATACAACCTGGTGGAATCTCCAGCAAACTACCCTTTTAAAAGCAAATCTCAATAGGTTACATACATAACGTATGTGCCCATGAATATAACATTTCTGAATGTCAAAATTTTAGAAATAAATATCAAATTAGTGATTGCCAGAAGTTTTGATTCAGGCAAGAGCAGGGTGGGAGGGAAATGGTTGTAGCTAAAACAGGGCAACAGGTGGGATCCTTATGTGATAGAAGTGTTCAGTAACTTCTAAACACCTGGGGTAAAGTGTATGTTGTTGTTATATGCCATCAAGTCGGACCCGACTCATAGTGAGCCCTCCTTGGGTTTCCGAGGCGGTATCACTACGGAAGTAGATTGCCCAACCTTCCTTCTGAGGAGCGGCTGGTGGGTTTGAACTGTCAGCCTTCTGGTTAGCAGCCAAGTGCCTTAGGCAGTATACTACCAGAGCTCCTAAGCTCCCAATACACACACATAAAAATTAATGTAATTAAGACTGAAGAGACGTGAACAGACAGCTGGACTGTATCAATGTCAATATCCTTGTAGTATTATGCATAGTTTTGTAAGATGCTATCATGAGGAGAAACTGAGTGAAGGTACAAAGAATCTGTGTGTATTATTTCTCACATTGCATGTCAATGTACAAGGCTGCAATAAAATTTCAACTTAAAAAAAAAAACAGATGAACATTCTCATGGAAGAATCCTATAACAAAAGCAAGCTCAGTTTTAAGAGCAAATTATAAGAAATATGGCTGTCAAAGGACAATCAAAAGTGGAAAGACTAAGTTGCCATTCTTGTGTCTGAGATGTTTTAATACCGACCACATAAAATGATATTCACAGTCATGACACCAAACGTATGAGCAATAAAAGACAAAATAAATAAATTGGACTTCGTCAGAATTTTCAGCTTCAGTGATCAAAGAATTTCATCAAATAAGTGAGAAGATAAACTACAGAATGGGAGAAGATATTTATGAATCATACATCTGATAAGTGTTTAATATGCAGAATATATAAAGAACTGGTTTAATTCAACCACAAAAGACAAAAGATAAGCAATCCAATTTAAAAATGTGAAAGACATGAATAGACACTTCTTCCAAGAAGATATACAGAACGGCCAATGAGCACATGAAAAGATGTGCTCATTAGTCATCAAGGAAATTAAAATTAAAACCACAATGATACCATTTCACACCCACTAGGATGGCTAGTATCAGGAAAACAGGTGTTGGCAAGTATATGGAGAAATTCAAACCCTCATCCATTGTTGGAGGGACTACAGAATGCTGCAACTTCTGTTTGGTAGTTCCCCAAAGTTAAACACAGAATTATCATATAACCACCAATTCCATTCTTAGGTATACACCAAAAAAAAAATTCAAAGTAGGGACCAAAACAGACACTTACACATCAATGTTCGTAGCAGCATTATTCATAATAGACACAAAGTAGACAACAACCCAAGTATCTATCGACAGATGAATAGATAAATAAAATGTAGTCTATAGACACCATGGTCTATATTCAGCCATGAAGAGAAATGGAATTCTGATACATGTGGATGTGGATAAACTCTGAAAACATTATGCTAAGTGGAATAATTTATTCACAAAAGGACAAATATTGTATGATCCCACTTATCTGTGTATAATATGAAATATCTACAGTAGGCAAACACATAGAGACCAAAGTTTATTAGTGATAACCAAGGGTGAGTAAGAAATAGAAGGGGAAATTATTACCTAAGAAGCAATGAGTATCAAAGTGATGAAAAAATTTAGAAACAGGGTAATGATTGTACAACATGGTGAGCATAATTAATGTCACTGAATTATACATATAAAAATGGTTGAAATAACAAACATGTATACACACACACACACACACACACACATACCACATAAAATTTAAAAAATTTAAAAAAAAAGAGAGAGAGAGAAAGTATCAGCAGCCTACAAAGTCAGACACAACCAGGCAGAGATACTAAGGCCTCCATAGCTCACTTGACTGTACTAAAGCCATCCACCACTCCAGAAGCTGTCATTTTCTGAAGGCCAAGGCTACTGGACAATAATCCAGATTCATTTAGTTGCTATGGCCCATCAAAGTCAAAATTCTATGTGGCCCATATTTATTATAAAATAAAAACCTCCCTCTCTTCCATTTAGGCCACATTAGTAAAACAATAAATTGCAAACATATGAATAGATAAACAAAATATTGTATGTATATACAATGGAGTATTATTCAGCCATAAACAGAAACGAAGTTCTGATACATACTGTGATATGCATGAACACTGAACACATTATGCCAAGTGAAATAAGTCAGATACAAAAAGGCAAATGCTGTATGATCAACTTACATAAAATATCTAGAATTGGCAAATGCATCCAGACTAAAGTTTATTAGTGGTTACCAGGGACAAGGGGAAGAGATAAATAGGATGTTTTTGGTTAAGGAGTACGTAAGAGTTTCTTTTGGGAGTGATGAAAACCTTGTGAAATACTGATGATGGCTGCACAACAGAATGAATATACTTAATGCTACTGAATTGTACACTTAAAACAGTAAAAAAGGCAAAATTCTGTTCTATGTTATTTTCAGTACATTTAAGTTCTATAAAACTATTAAATTTTTTGCTTTGGCAAAAATGACAAAATTATTAAATCTGAGGAGTGGGCACACATGTCTGTTATCTTGTTTTCAACACTTTTTGAAATATCTTAAATAAGTAATAATTTTAAATTAATAATAAGAAAAAAGACATTCTCCCACAACATACACAAAGTTCCCAGAACTCTTTTCCAATGCCCAACAAGGATCGGTTTATGCTAAAATAATATTCTAAATTATTGTGTGATTTCTAAAAGGCTACTCTAAAGTTGTGACTAGAAAAAAAAATCTAAGTAATAGGTTTAAGTATTTATTAATGAGCAGAAAAAAGATTGTCTTTTATAGTTCATTCATCCACTCAACAAATGTTTACACAACACTTCCGATACACAAAGCACTGGGCTAGGGAAAGGTTACTCCAGTACTGTGGTCTCACCGTCATCTATTCTTCTTCACCCTGCTCTCAAACAGCTTCCCAAGCAGTAAGGAAGATTAGCCAAATTTTATTAAGACCATGAGACAGTCTCTGATTTATTACAATAAAATATCATGTTTATCTTAGGTTCATCTGCAGATGACTGAGCATTATGACAAACCAAAAAAACCACTGCTATCGAGTCAATTCCAACGCATAGCCATCCACATTGGGTTTCCAAGGCTGTAAATCTTTATGGAAGTAGATTGTCTCATCTTCCACCCACAGAGCAGCTACTGGGTTTGAACTGCTGACTTGCTGATTAACAGCCAAATGTCTGTTATGTCACCAGAGCTCCTTAAGCAGTGTGACAAGGGTTATAAAAATGTCAGCAGTTTTAGTTTTACTTTCCTAATAACTAAGAGAGCTCTGGTAGCGCAGTGCCTAAAAGGAACTTGATTGCTAACCAGAAGGCTGGCCACTCAAACCCACCAGCCACTACTTGGAAGGAAGATGGGGCAATCTACTTCCGTAGTGATACTGCCTAGGAAACCCATGGAGGGGTCACTATCAGTCGGGTCCGACTCAACGGCACATACAACAACAACAACAACGACGACAATAACTAAGCATTGTGATAAACTATTAAATAATAATAATAATGAACGATGTGTTATATCCTTTCTAGACCATTCCAGAAATAAATCCATGTAGATTAAAAAAGTCAAATGAGGACATAGAAAGATTGGCTAGCTACCTCTCCTGGAATGGTTTTTCAGTACATACTCCCTTCAATTACTCCCAATCTGTAACATTCCCCCCAAAAAAGCCAAGGCACTTTACATTTTGCAAAGCAGCTATAATGGATAACTGCAAAATTCCCTTTTAGTAATCTGCTTCATTATTCCTTTCAAATCAAAGGATTCTCAAGTCATTTAGGGGGACTTTGAGAATAGCTCAACCAACACATCTAGACTCTTATAGAGATAAAGCAGGAAGATGGGAGCTGTATAATTGAGGGTTATATACCTTATTCAGTACACTTTATCTTTCACCTATTAATGTGATTCTTAGTATTAATTCAGGAACTGTGATTCGTATACAAATGAATCAAACTAGTATTTTTCCTTTTAATTATAAAATTACTGTATTACATGTCTTAATAAAAAATATAGGTTCAATATATTCATGCAAAATGGCATCTTCCTAGAGTCAAGTTACAAATTCAACTTACCACTTTTTCAAAATCATCTTCTGCTTCATCAAGTTTTCCTTGTTTGAGTAGTAAGTGACCTCTCTGTAATCTTGCCTAGAAGAGAAAAGGGGAGGGTAATCTTGAGTACTAGCATTTCTATATTTTCATTACACACAAAGAATAAATCTAAATAACTTAATAGTATTATTAATAAAATATTTACTTTCCCAAGACCATTTCTTTGACTTGGCACTCTAAGAAAAATTCCTCAAACAACGAATGTGTTTAATGTTTGTTAAAGCATACTTTCTCTAAAATACTTTTTGTTGTATCCAAGAAAAATGAAAACAGATTGCCCATGTAAAAGCTGTGCATAAATGTTCACAATAGCCAATTTGACATAACTTAAATGTCCATCAGCTGAAGACTCAATAAACAAAATGGTATTTCTATACAATGAAATATTATTCAGCCCTAAAAAGAAAGTACTGATATATGCTATAACATGGATGAACCTCAAAAACATTATGATAAGTGAAAAAAGTGAGACCCAAAAGGCTGTATGATTCCACTTATATGACATGTCAAAAAAAGAAAAAAAATTCCTGTCAAGTTGAGCCCAACTCATGACAACCTCATGTGTATGTCTGTATGTATGTGCAGGCTTTTCAATCACTGCATTTGCAGAAATAGAAGAACTCAAACTGCCAACCTTTTAATTAGCATACAAGCATGTCAACTGTTTGTGCCACCCAGGGGTGCCATGAAATGTCCAGAATAAGCAAATCGAGAGGCAGAAAGCAGATTTGTGGTTAAAAAAACTGTGGGGGAGGACTGCCCATGGGTACAAAGCTTTCAGGGGTGATGAAAATGTTCTGGAATTAGAAAGTGGTAATGATGACACAACCTGTAGATACACTTGCCACCACTGAATTATATGCTTTAAAAGATAAATTTTATGGTATATGAATTATATCTCAAAAAAATACTTTTTACCATCACAAAAACTTTTTGCCACAACAATAAAAGTTAGGTAATTTGGGACTTTATAATCAAAGTTCCATAAGTGTTTTTGTTTGTGCTTTATTTCATTATCTCTCAATGCAAATATTTATTGTACTATAATCAGAATAACAATGCCTCTGATAGCATGGTGCCAAAGGCATTTGACTGCCAACCAGAAGGTTTTAACATATCTCTTTCTCCTCCTCCATCTCTATTTCTTTTTCTAATAAACATAGTATCTCATCTCTTTGAAGACTAACAACTCTCTTATGGCCAACCATAAAACAGAAACCGTATCATTATTCCACTAAAACTTATGTATTACTTTCACAATACACAAAATTTCCCTGGTCCTCCTTTATATGCATCAATACATATAAAAAGATGAAAGACACCTCAACTAGCTAATAGCTACTATAACACTAGGAAAATGTGATGCTTTAACCTTTGTGAGAGGTTATGCTTAGTATTGTAAAGTAACTGATTCAAAGAAAATTTAACACTGGGGAAATTCAGTCATAAAATAATAGTAATATTTCAAACAAAGCATTCACTCTTATCTAATTAGTTACCTTAAATCCTTTTTGGAATATAACCAAAAAACCAAATTCACTGCCATTCAGTCAATTCTGACTTATTGCAATCCCCACTGGGTTTCCAAGGCAGAAAATCTTTACTGAAGTAGATTGCCCCATCTTCCTTCCACAGAGTGACTGATGGGTTTGAACCGCCAATCTTCTGGTTAGCAATGCCTTAGACACTATGCCACCAGAGCTCCTTTTTTGGAATATGGCAGTATATAAATAATAGATGAGTTACCAAATCAATTTTGAAACTATCTAATTGGTTAATGGGTTTTGTCAATTTGTCCTCCGCAAGCTCTTCCTCTGTTCCATCCCTATAAACTCCCTCTGCAAACCTCTATCATAGCACTTACAGTGATCTGTCAACTATCAGGCCTCCCCGTCAGCTCTAAGATTCTCCACCTCTACAGCCTATATGTTGGTTTCAGGAGAGAACCATGCCTAATCTAACGTTTTCAGGACAAACCACTGCTTAATTAAGCTATCCCCTCTTCTGTATTCTTACTGCTATAGTCTTAATTGAAATGGTCATCAGTCACCTAACAGACTCTTAAGTCAACGGCTACTTAATTAGCTCATTTCTCACATCTTGCCCTGCAGTCCATCTTCCACACAGATATGTCTTTTTAAACCACAAAGTTAACATCACTGCCAGGCTTCTAAATATTACCTACTGTACCCACTCTTCCTCTTAAGCACAGACCTTTGATTCAAGGGACTCCAAAGTCCAGTATATTATAGTAGCCTTCTACATCCTCTACTTAAGCCTTAAGAAATGAGTTACCTCCTCCAAGTTTCCTTACTGATCCCTGGGTGGCACAAATGGTTAAGTACTCAACTACTAGCCAAATGGCTGGCAGTTCAAACCCACCCAGAGGCACCTTGGAAGGCAAGCCTGGCCACCTGCTTCCAAAAGGTCACAGCCTTGAAAACCCTAAGGAGCATTTCCCTTCGGCACACATGGGGTCACCATGAGTCAGAATCAACTTGATGGCAACTAACAATAACATATTCCCTTAAGTTCACCTTTAAATGAAGTTGAGATACACTTACTGCAGTGAAATCCATCTTCAATTCAATCACTTTAGTTAAATCAGGAAGTGCTGCTTTTGATTTACCCATAGCTAAAAAGACAGTAGCTCTCCGATAGTATGCAATATAGTTATCAGGGTCACCATCTGAAAATTTAAAAAATAAATATTAACTCTTAATAATTTATTTAAAAAATAAAGAGTTCAAAATTCTATTAAGATATTAAGCTTCAGCCAAAAAAAAGGGGTCATTTTGTTATACATATAACTTTAACAAAAATCTTTAAAAAAAAATAAAAGGGGGGTAAAATTGCCTATCAAGGTCTTATCTAGGCAAACAAATTCAGAATAGGAGTTGACAAACTATGGGCCTTGGGCCAAACTCCCAGACTTCAAGCTAAGAATGGTTAAAGAATACATAGAAAAATACACAATAGACTGTATTGTATGGCTATAACATCTAAAATATATACTATCTGGTCCTTTACAGAAAATCTTGGCAGTCTCTGATCTAGAGTGTTAACTACATGCAACTCATAACTTTTATACTATGCAAGCCAATCTGCTGTAGTTGACTCTCCTGAAATACTGATTGAGAAGATAAACTATGTACTTATTCACAGAATTTCAAAAGTGAAAGACTTCCAATTAAATTGATACACTGAATGTGTCCATCTCTGCTCCCTCATAACGCCAATTGAAACAGCAGTGAAGAAATAAAAGTATAAACTGCAAAGACAGAAAAAGAAGATAGAAATGAGAACAATACTAGAGAAACTGGAGATGTGAATATGTAAGTCTAACTTTAGAAGAAGCCATATATATGTACTTTACAGTAAACACAGCCTTATCCTAAAAAGACCAAACTTAATGTTTATTCAAACAAGTAAGACTAACACTAGGCACCAACAAAATACCAATGATCGAAAATTCATGTATGAAATAAAATTGGAAAATAAATTGAGCACTCAATCTCACTAATGTTCGAAAACAGGCAATTAATATTAGTTATTTTTGTCTACTGAAATTAGACAAATATTTTTTAGTAATTCTATTTGCAATGGTCCCAAAATGGAGCAAATGATTTACACTCAACTGCTAACCTAAAGGTTGGAGGATAACACAGAAGAAAAGCCCTGGTGATCTACTTTCATTAAGATTGTCAAGATTGTTGTTATTAGGTGTCTTCAAGTCAATTCCAACTCATAGTGTCCCCAACTGACTGAGTGAAATGGCCCCATAGTATTTCCTAGACTATAGTCTTTACGGGATGGAGCTCTGGTGGTGTATTGGGTAAGACATTTGGCTGCTAACCAGAAGGCTGGCAGTTCAAATTCACCAGCCACTCCTCAGAAGGAAGGGTGAGCGATCTACTTCCATAGTGATACCGCCTCGGAAACCCAAGGAGGGGTGGCTGTGAGGAGAAGTTAAATAAATTACATAACTAAAACTTACAAGTCGAGAAGTATAAACATTTTAATGAATACTTTTTAATGTTGTTGTTGTTGTTGTTATGTCCCATCAAGTTGGACCCGACTCATAGCAACCCCTCAATATCAAAAGTGGTATTGCCAAGGCAGTATCACTTCGGAAGTAGATTGCCCAACCTTCCTTCCGAGGAGTGGCTGGTGGGTTTGAAACACTTTTTAATGTAGTCATAGCTTAATACAATGTATAAAAACATAGATGATATTCCACCACAAAGGATCAGCATTAATGTCAGCATGGTTGTACCACTTACAGCAATAAGTGAATGACTGATTAATTTGAAAATCAGGGGCCTAGACTACCTCACTATTAGTGAGTCACTCACTATTAGTAACAGGCTCTCACTAACTCACTGGGTTACAAGGAGCAGTTAACGTGGTCACGCTAAAGATTCAACCTCCCCAAAATGAGACGATTGAAATAGAGGGTATGTGTTCTTTCTAATAAATTTACACCTTATAAGAGATTCAACAGGCTATGACACCATACTACCCCATTAGTATCAAATATATATCCCCAGTGTATACAATTTAAACTTTATTTTCCATAGTTTTTATGAACAATGTTTTATATAAATCAAAATGATAAATGTTCTCAAACAACACAGGTCTTCCTCAGCAATTATGATGTATACCCCACTGGAGAATCAATGCTACTTGCCAAAATGTGATGAAGGAAATGTCATTGCTATTCAAATTCTGAATGCACTAGCAGTGTTTCACATTTTTCCTTTATTGAATTTCACAAATAAATGTTTCGGTTTTACTGATTTATAAGTTTTTCTTTGAAGACAGTAATATTTTACTGGATATTTTGAAGAATGGCCATCTTATTCTTATATTGCAGTGGTGATGCAGAAGAAAAACAGGTGGTTGACTTAACCTATTTTAACAATATGTTGTAGCCCTTAATGTTTCTGCTAAACGTGAGAGTAAGAAAAACAAATCAAGTATAAAATAGTGGAAGGTACAAATTTCTATAAATATTCTTGTGAATAGTAGGGAAAAATCAGTATTTAGACATTTTCTAAGATAAAATAAAGTCTAAATTTTAAATTTTTAAAATTACCACGCTACAGTATTAAAGATAGTCTGAAACATGGAAAAGAGTATGGACTTAGTAATGAAGTGGTCCTAATTAAATGGCCATTAATGAAAAGTAACTACTGTAAATTGAGCCAACTAACTACTACTTGTCCAAAGAGAGTTAATCATTGAATCAGCAAAATAACTTTCTAACAGAAGCTCCACATAGTTAAGAAAGCTGTGTCAACATATCAAATCTGTTTTTAGAATAGTCTTAATTTTCAGAAACACAAAAATTAGATTTTTATAACCCATACATGTGTGATTATATTCTATTTTTAAACAAACCTTTCTATCTATTTTTCTCACCTAATCTTCACGAAAATTCCTTTGGGTGCACAGTGAAACTGCTGGGTATGTATTGGTAATCTCTTTAAATGACTTTCTTTTAACATAACTTGACCAATGTCATACCATTATCAAGTAACAAAGCCAAGAATAAAATCTAGGTTTCCTATTACTACAGAGAGCTAATAATCATATATTTTATCATAATAAAATAATATATAATAAAATATAAATATTTGTATAATATAATATAAAATATACAATAAAATATTTTTTATTATAATAAAAATCTGAGTTTACAAAAAAGCATAAGGAAAGAGATTACCAGATCAAACTCTAACTACCTTTTGTTTATATTATAAATTACAATAGGATGGTAATTCTTCTGGTGAGCACAACTGTATCTCTTTAAAAATACACGACCTCATTACCTTGCAGAGTGTTTACTTGTGATCCTTAACTATTTCAAACAAATAAAAAAGGACTCTGAAGAAAATGATTATCAAAAAGCCCTAGAATGAGTTTACGCATTGATTCACAGGGAAAGCTTTTAAGCCTTCACTTAGAATTCTTTATTCTGGTCACCTCATTTCTCACAGTCACAATAAATTAAAAGCGATCATGATAATTGAGAAAGATTATGCCACAGAGATACAAATGAGCAATAGGAAATAACATCGTAGGGGACAGTGGAAGTTAGACCAACACTGAAGAAGAACTAAACTGCAGGATTTCTCCAGGGCATCAAAGAAGCAATTATTGTATTGATGATCCCAAGCTATCAAGAAAATTAAACTGTATTCAATGAAATCTGTTACAAAAATAAAAAATTATATAACATATTGAGGAAAGTATTCAGTCAAAATTATCTTGAATTATTCCTGGTATTTAGTAATAAATCTTAGTTACCTAGAAAATTCTATCATATTAAATACATATGCATTAAAGTATTATATATTTATTTTATTAGACACTTTCACCCAGAATCCTAGAAATGTTTTATTTAAAATTTAGATATTAATTAAATAATGTTTATTTAAAATGTTACCCAAAAAAGAGCTATAAATTAGGATTCACTAAAACTATCCTGAATATTGTGGTGCCAAGATACAAACCTACTGCAGCATGAAACTGAGATAAAGCATCAGCTAGCTGTCCAGCTGCAAGTAACTTCTTGCCCAATTCAAGATGTTTCTCAACATCTGCATTTACTCCACATTCAGCACCTAAAAACAAACAAAAAAGTAGTTAACTTTGCACAAATCAAAACTTAATTCTAAAAATATAAAGTTATCTGGCTCTGTCATCTACTCAGATGAGAAAAGTCAAAGAAGCTGAAAAATAACCTAGAGAAAGTACACACAAAGAGCATTTCATTTTACAGAATGTAGTAAGCTCATAGTCACTGAGTCAGGATCAACTCAACAGCAGTGGGTAATCCGCTCAGAAATATATCCACACAGACCTAACTAATCAAAAGAATATAACTGATCTACAAAATGAAAGGGCAATTTCATAACATCGTAGTAGAGAAAATATTGAGCAACATTAGAATTACTTTGTTAAACTAGAATTTTATTTTCATGAATATTGTAAGGTTCACTACCATGACTGCAACAATTGTGCATATTTTGCCTGTTGAATATACACGTCTATCTGTAATATACTAACCATTTTCTTCTCTCTCATTCCCATTTCAATTTTATAGAGAAGTTATTCGAAGTTAACTTTACATGTCAGTCTTTACATAACTGAATACTGAGTGGGTCAGTGACGGAAAATGAACAGTAATTAACATAGCCACTGATGGGCTATATTATGAGTTGGAACTGTGCATCGTCTCACTTGGAGGGAGGGTAAGAACATTTCCCTAGTAAGGATTCCTATTCCCACTGAGCCAATTCTGACCCATAATGGCCCTATCAGACAGTGCAGAACTGCCCCATGGGGTTTCCAAGGCTCTAATCTTTACAAAAGGAGACTGCCACATCTTTCTTCTGTGGAACACTGCTGGGTTCAAATCTCTAACCTTTTGATTAGCAGCCAAGTGCTTAACCACTGTGCCATCAGGGCTCCTCATAAAAGAAATGTTGTTGTTAGGTGCTGTCGAGTTGTTCTGACTCATAGCCACCATATGCACAACAGAACGCAGGGATAGCTGTATCTTATTAGGCAGGAAACTGCAGACCACAGGTTCTCATCACTAGTTAGTGATGCAAGGTGACTACCCTGTTCATCTCTGTATCTCCCACAGGACCACTCCTCTTTCGGATGTAGAAAGTTGGCAAGGAGGCCAAACCTAGGCCAGCCCACTGCCGCACACTGCGTGCTGATTGAGTTCTCTGGGACTTTTCAGGCTAGGTCTGAGACACCGGAGAAAAAACCAACTGACTTTATCTGGCTTGCTCTGAGAACTGCGAGAGTGAAAGAAATGGCCACTAATATAAGTAAGACAGTCTGTTTTCTAGCATTAAATTCAAGGGCCTGCCACATGTTGAAGTATTTAAAAATGATATAATATGATGAATGGGATTGGCTTCAGAATAATAATCTGAGAAGACAGAATGATAAAACAATTGGTTATATGTTGATAATCTTTTTTTTCTTTTTTTGCAGTGTTTCCTCCCCTCCCCTTCTACCCCTCATAACCAACAAAGAAAGTTTCCTTCCATATATAAACCTTTCCTTGACTTTTTACAATAATGAATTAATACAGTATTTGTTCTTCTGTGATTGACTTAATTCACTCAGCATGTCTTCCAAGTTCATCCCCATTATGTGGCATTTTGCAGATTCTACATTATTCTCTAGTATTGCATAGCATTCCATTGTGTGTATGTACCATAGTTTGGTTATCCATTCTTCTGTTGATGGGCAACCAGGTTGTTTCCATCTTTTGGCTATTGTAAATAGTGCTATGATGAACGTGGGTGTACATATATCTGTTCTTGTCCTGGCTCTCACTTCTTTAGGATATATACCTAGAAATGGGATTGCTGGGTCAAATGGTATTTCTAAATCCAACTTTTTAAGCAATCGCCATACTGCTTTCTACAGTGGTTAGATCATTTTACAGTCCCACCAGCAGTGTATGAGAGTCCCAATCTCTCCACATCCTTGCCAGCGTTTGCGATTTTCTGTCTTGTTGAAGTTTGCTATTAGTGCTGGGGCCAGATGGCATCTCATTCCTGTTTTGAATTGCTTCTCTCTAGTGGCTAATGAGGAGCTCTGGTAGCATAGTGGCTAAGACACTTGACTGCTAACCAGAAGGCTGGCGGTTCAAACCCACCAGCCACTCCTCGGAAGGAAGGTTGGGCATTCCTACTTCCGTAGTGATACTGCCTCGGAAACCCAAGGAGGGGTCGCTATGAGTCGGGGCCGACTCGATGGCAAACAACAACAAAAACAACAACAACAGTGGCTAATGATCATGAACATTTCTTCACGTTTCTTGGCCGCCTGACTGTCCTCTTTGGTGAAATGTCTATTCATGTCTTCTGCCCATTTTTAATTGGATTGTTTACCTTTTTGTAGTTTTCTACCCAATTTTAGAGATAAGTCCTTTGTCAGATATGTTGTTGCCAAATATTTTTCCCCAATCTGTAGGTTTTCTTTTTATTCTGTTGGAGAAGTCTTCTGAAGCACATAAAAATTTAAGGTCCCATTCATCTAGTTTATCTTCTGCTGTTTGTGCATTTTAAGTTATGCTTGACAGTTTATTTATGCCATAAATTCAAACAAGCAAACACTGCCATCAAGCCAATCCTAACTCACAGTAACCCTCCTTGGGTTTCTGAGGCAGCACCTCTAAGGAAGTAGATTGCCCAATCTTCCTTCCGAAGAATAGCTAGTGGGTTTGAACCATCAGCCTTCTGGTTAGCAGTCAAATGCCTTAGGCACTACGTAAACAGAGCTCCAATAAATTTGAGCCCTTAAATATGCCCCTAGTTTTTCCTTCAGAACTTTATACTTTTAGATTTCACATTTAAGTCTTTGATCCATCTGGAATTAGTTTTTGTGTATGGTGTGAGGTACAGATCTTCTTTCATTTTTCTGCAAATGGATATCCGGTTTTGTCAGCACAATTTGTTAAACAGACCATCTCTTCCCCATGTAATGGATTCCAGATCTTTTTTTAAAAATCAGCTGACCATAGGTCAATGGATCTAGTTTTGGGTTCTCAATTCTGTTCCATTGATCTATGTGTCTGTCGTTATACGAATACCAGGCTGTTTTGACTACTGTGGCTGTATAGTAGGTTTTGAGATCCCAGAGTGTGATACCTCCTAACTTGTTCTTCTTCTTCAATAGTACTTTCCTTATTTGAGGTCTCTTTCCTTTCCACAGATAATTAGTGATTGTTTTTTTCAGATCCTTAAAGAATGATGATGGGGACTGGAATGGGACTGCATTGAATGTATAGATGGCTTTGGGTAGTATTGACATTTTCACAATGTTCAATCTTTCTATTCACAAGCATAGTATGTTCTTCCATTTATGTGGATCTCTGATGGTCTGGATTGTAGTTTTTTTTGTATATGTCTTTTGTGTCCCTAGTAAGATTTATTCCTAAGTATTTTATTTTTTTTTTGGTATCTGTTCTGATTACCTAATGCCACTCTGATAGGAATATACCACAAATGGTATGGCTTGAACAAACAGGAGATCATTCTCTTACAGTCTGGAGGCTTTAAGTCTGAGTTAAAAGTGCCAGGCTCTAGGGACTGAGTGAAAGCCCTTCAACCTTAGGCTTTAGCTCTGCCTCCTCTGCTTCTGGCCCGCCAAAGCTAGAGGTTTTTCTTCACTCAAACAGCTGCTGGCTGCTGAGGCTGACAAGACCAAGGTTGACAAGTAAAAAGGCACAGTCCCAATGTTACCAAACAACACAGCAGGCCATTAATTCAAGTCCACTGAAAGTCCCAAGGTCAGCAGAGCATAGCAGGCTGCTGAACAATGACACGGCTACACGCAGGGTTCAAGCATGCCATAAGCTAGAGACCATTCCCCATCTCCTTATATACAGGAAGCCGATCACATCCCTAAGGCAGC